AAAGGAATTTCATGATCATTTTGTCTGAATTGTGGTATTTGTTCAAATCGGAGGCTGCTTGAGGCACGGCATATGCCCCAAGGGTCTCCTAAAACGAGCCAGGGAGAAAAGAGTCAGGGTCTCCTAAAACGAGCCCCAGAGAAAGCAGATCAGGGATGGAAACGAATGATTTTGCCCCGGTGATTCCGAGCGTGCCAAGCCAGGGCCGCGCTCTGACTCTGCCCTATCTCTGCGCAGTCTTTAATTACCCGTCGCAGCCCCGGATGGATGGCGTGCAACGAAAAACCAGCTGGTCAGCATTTATTATCTCTCCTCCCTAACGAGTGCCCCCCTGCCTTGCTTACTGTGTAACACCTCTTAAATACCGACACGTTAAGGCAATATCCGTCCCTCCAATTCACTCGCAGTGCTAGCTGCGGGCAGACTCAGGAGCGCAATTGGACACATTTTCCCAGTCTCATGCTTCATTCCCTGCTTTATTCACTGCGTACCGGCTGAATGAATGACCTTGCAGGAAAACCAGTCAGAGCCTGGAAAATAATGGACTCTGAGACATGTTATCCACGGAAGGGAAGACTAATGAAGCTGGGCAGGTAATCCTGCCTTTGTCTTGTTCCAATTTTTCAGCACTATGCTTTCCATCTTGAAGATTTTTTCCGGAGCAATTTGGTAGCTGCACACATTAACATTTCCTAGCACGACCTCACCTATCATAGGCAACTAGGGACAGACGTCAACGGGAGTAGGAAAGGCCTCCAAGCTTGTAACATATAGGGCCATAACATATCCGTGATGAGCTCGGCGGCTGAGTCATGCTCGCCTTCCCATTAAAAAGCAGCAGAGCGCCGAACGAGCGAAGGAACAATTCCAGATTCCGCATACCTTGGCCTCCGGCTGAAGGCTCTCTAATGGAGAGGTAGGCACTGCATACAAAGGAGCCGAGACCTTAAATGAACACTGTCCTGGGAAGAAAGAGGAATGAGAACAGCCTAAAGTGAGACCCTCTGCAGAGAAACTGTGGCCTGACTCCTAACGCCGAGCTGCTGATGTCACCCCCTCTTCCCCCAGACCCAGCTTTCTACAGATGCTACAAAGTGCGTTTTGTCAAAAGGAGGTCAGATACAGCCAGGGGTCCGTAAGCAAAGCTCAAAAAGTGCCAGGGAGTACAAAGTGGTTGACTGTGGAAGTCAACGTTGTACCTTGCAGCAGAGGTAGAAGGTCCACCACAGCTTGGCCAAGAGGCACGGTCTTCTCCTTCTGTCTCTTCTCGCTTTGCAACACTTCTATCACTGTCACTAGAGAGATAAAGAGAGAGGAGCTGGCAGAGTTTCTCAGCCAGCTTCAGACCAGCAGTTCAGGGGCTGCAATGGGTCTATGTCAGCTCCGGCACACGCTCCTACTTCATCTCCCAAGGCCGACAAGAACAGCGAAGCCAAGGAGCACCAGCCAACATGAAAGGGGATTCTTCCAGCTGGCAGAGATGGGAACAGAAGCGTTGAGACCCTCCCACCGCCGCTGCTGAAGTGCTATTCTTGAACGAGTGACTCCTGCGGCAGGCAGGCAGAGCGGAGCAGCTGACAGCACCCACCTCCGAGGAGGGAGATGCAGCGTCAAGTACTTACAGAGCACAGGTTTTTGCGCGATGTCGTCCAAGGAGTTGGGCCCATCGCAGCTGCAATCGAAGCTGGTCGTGAAATTATAGTTTGCTGTCCCATTTGGCAAGACGTCAGTCTTGGAGGAGTCTCCCAAGACGGCTCCGTTGTACTCTGCACGCACCAAAGTAACCGACACGTCGCTTTTGATAGTTTTCTGTCAACCAAACAGCACATTAAACAGTTGGCTCCGCAGCAACAGGCCCAGGATCAAAGTTGCCCCTGGCAGGCAGCTGAGTTCAGCGCCCAGGACGGGGTTCACTGGTGGGGGTCTCTGGACTACAGGAATGGGGAAGGGGAACAGAGCTTGGCCGTGCTGAGACCTCCCCCTTCCCTGTCTTTAGGAGGGAAATTTCCTGCTCCACCATGCTGTGACGCCCCAAGGAGTATCAGGAGCTGCGGCAGGGGAGATGGAGAGGCCCAGGCTTCACCCCAGGAAAGGCAATGAAAGACAAATCCCAAAATACCCCATTGATATTTTTGTGCTTCCAGGAAGCTTGGGACTTTTGTCGTCTCCTAAGAAAGTAGTCGCTGAGCTACACGGCTGAGCTCACAGGACACTTGTGTCTTGAACGCCCTGAAATCGAAGAAGGGCTCCAGCAAGCTCTTTGGGGAGCGCTGCAGTTTGTTGTTAGGCCACCTCCACACCACTTGCTTTAAGCAGAGATGAGGAGATTTGAAGCTTAAAATGTCTCCGCCGAGGGGCTTAAACGTGGGTGAAGAGGGATGGTGAGAGCACGGCACGCCGCAGCGGGGATCGGCGTGCCTGGGCAGCCCTGGCCACGCGGGCAGCACCGGGCTCCTCCACGGCAGCGCAAGAAGCGCCGAGAGAGGCAGCGACCCAAGAGCCTCCCTGCAGGAGAGCCACGGTTTGCTTCTCCGTCCAGGGCAGAGCGGCTGCCGCCCTGAACACGAGGATGGTTGTACCCAAGCCCAGCTTTTCTTTAGTCCCGAGCCACGGGGATGCCTAACCTCCCTCAGCCCCCTCTCCCCGTGTCACTGGGGTAATTAGTTCCATATTGGCTCCTGCACAAGAAGAGAATTCATTCACTTGGTTTTAATTTTCAGTCCTTCTGACTGTCTCCTTGAGCATATATTCTATGAGCAGCTAAACAGAAGAATCCAATTAACCTTTCTCTGTACCATTAATTATGCTAGACTCCTCTCTCATCCTTCTCTACATTCCCTCTACTTAAGCAGATTCCACACCTCTTAGAGCTGGAATTTTTTTCATATTGTTGTTCTTATTATTGCACTTTTGTAACCCGCGCACCTTTTGCCAGAGCCTTTTCTAAGATGGAGCCACCAGAACCACAAAGCAATATTCTGGATGCAGTCAGTCCACCCGTCTATTATTTTCAGCGTTGCTTTCCCTCCTCTTACCTTACACCTCTCGGGTAAGATGCTGATTGCTGAATCTATTGGTGTGAGAGGTACTCAAATACCACAACACAAAAACCTCAGAAAAACCAGGCAGCTGGTTTTGGTTTGCTTTTTTTTTCTTGTCTGCTGCTAGAGCAGAAGCAGGGATTTGCATTTTTCTGCTTGCAGCAGTAGCTGAGCTTCTCCTCCGCATTCCCTCCTAAATGCCAGTTCCTCTGGAAGATGTGAAGGCCAGCGGGGTGTATCACGCAGCACGTGGAAAGCACAGCAGTCATGGTTCGATCGGAACCAGCACACAGTCTTGCCCTGTAACCGCACTGGAACCACTGCCCTTTTAAAACCAGAGCCGCCTTTAATAAATTAATATGATTTAAAGCACTGTAGCTGGGGTGAAAATCTGGCTTTATATCCAAGGCTGGATCTTTTTAGAGGCATTTATCTTGCTGATACACGTTTTTACTGTGTTTTGCTTAAAAAAGCTGCCATTTACATACAGTTAGGCGGAGAAGGCAGAGAGATATAGAATCATAGAATCATAGAATCATAGAATTGTTAAGGTTGGAAAAGACCCTTAAGATCATC